TGAATAAACGTTTACATTTACTTTTTTTAATGTTTGTCGTTTATACTTTTATACCGCGCGATTTAACAAAAAAGAGATGTCGAAATCGGGTCACGAATTGGTCGTAGTAATCGCGTAGGCTCAATTTACATTGCGGCGGAACGGAATGAAACGGAAGCGTCAATTTCGCCTCGAAAAGGCACGCGCCTTATGGCTGTAGTATTTCGTCAACGTTTGACGTCACACTGCGCCTACCGCGCGAAGGTAGGCACCTTCGCGCCACATTTGCTATGGATTCGCCAAGCGTCGCCGACGGCAGCTGCAGAATTCTCGCGTATGCGTGAGAATTCAGCGGAAGACGCGTGACATGATTTTGGCTCGTATCTAGTTTGTGCGTTACACAGTTGACCACAAAGATCATTATGCTATGTTTATGTTATAATACCATTACAAAAATTCGCTTCCATTCCGTTCCGCCGCAATATAAATTGAGTCTTACATACACACAATAAAAAATACTGGCGAATTGACAACTTCCTCCTTTTTTGAAGTCGGTTAATAACTGGTGATTCAGACAAATGAATACTACATACCAACTCCAATATAGAACAATGTTAACATGAAAATTTGGTTAGCAGGCTATGTCAAATTACTTGACGTTTGCTACTGTACCCGACTCAGATAGACTCATTTCCTTTGTGTTTACCTAATATACGCAATATCTAGGTCTGGTATAGGGAAATTATATTATGTATATCTAATATTCCGACTTGTACTTGAATCCAAGTACAAGTCGAAATATTAGCAAATAAAAAAACTACACGTTTTCAAATTATTGACGAAATAACTGTCGAACTAAAACCCGTCAACAACTGTACTTACAAGGTATTAAGGAAATACTGAACTAAAAACGTTTCCTATAAAAGAAAGAAGAAAACTGAAATTTTATATCATAAATGCTTTTAGTACACTTTATCTAGTAATGTGCCGCGGGGTAATATTTATAAAAGTATGTATGTTTATGACATACAATGGAAAATATAACGAAAAACAGAGAATACAATACATTTGTCAAAACTGATAGGCGAAAACGTGAAAAATAATGATGATCAACCAAACAGCTTCAATACTTACCTGATCTCAAACTTATACGTTATATAACTCAGAATAGAAATTAATAGAAAAGTTCGTTTCTAAAATATATACATAACTATATATTCTGACGGGACAAGCAAGTTCTGTTTTCCTCAAAGTAAGTAGTAAACACTAGTCTGAGAATGACCGATTGAATATCATAGTGAAACATCACAATTATAGTTAGTTAAAAATGTACTTTGGTAAGTTAAAAATAATACATTTTTGTCATTTTACTTCAGTATTAGGCTTGTATTGGAAAGCGCGCACTGACACCTTCCCCGCTTAATGCGAAAGAAGGCCCCTTCTTTTCTTCTTCGTGTGCGTGGTAGCAAGAATATCTTATTGGTAACTCTTTTTTTTTTATTATACCAGTTGACGGGACGAACAAGTTGTGCGCCTGGTGGTAAACGACACGCCTGTTCATAGCATTTCTAGTGCCACTGAGAGCTTTAAATCGCAAGGATCTGAAGGACACTGCTACTGCGCCCGTCAATTAGAGACATAAAGTCCATGTGCTTGTAATTTGACCATTACCCTTACCATTCAAAACCGGAACGCATATATCCTATACGAAAATTGGCACCTGTTCATATAGCACCCACAGGTTTAATATAATTATAAGAAATAAAGCTACATTATTACGTATATTTTAAATCAAGACCGTTCTACAAATCTAGACGTAGTTCGGGAAAGTCGATCGAACGTCCGCGGTCAAGGCGACACCCAATAGCACGCGATGTATGTGCTCTGAATTATACCAATGTTAAATATGTAGTAGTTACAATACAAAGTTCAATTATTTTGTTACATCAAAACCAGACGATCTATACTCAAGCTAGTCTTGCCTGTCATTCTTCTCGTCATGGTTTATAATCGGCGAATAATACACGGTGGTGGAAATGATACATAATGAAAATATATGGCACTGTTATACAATAGTATGTTAACTCAAAAAGTGGACTCTCTCAAAATCGATGAAAAACGAATTACTTCTCGCAAAAAATCATAGTTCTAGTTTATTATAGACAATTTACCAAACATATTTAAAAATAAAATAGAAAAAATAGTTTCATATTTTAGAATAAGGATTGTTTTAGCCAGAACTAGCTCATATAAAGTATGTGTCATTTTGAGTTAACTAAATATCTTTTGATTGTTTCTTACAATATTATAACGACGGTTTTTTTGACGTGTAGAGAATCAAATTTTACGTACAGTAATGGTATATTAGTAAATTTCACATATTTTGAGTTACAACACTATAGTAATAGCAGTGCGATATGTCGACAGTGGAAAGGTAAAACGTCTAACGTCTAACTAAAAAATTTGGAAAATATTATAGGAGAGCGATTTATAGTTTTTTTTTTTATTAAGAAAAACATCATAAATCTAGTTCTTAGGTTTTCGCGATTGTTAGATATAGGAAATTAAACTATTTTTCCGGATTTAAATCGCGTATATTTAGGGACCATGGGACCTGTAAAGGGCCCGAAAAGTCGGTTTGTTTGAAAAAACAAATATACTCGATTTAAATCCGGAAAAATAGTTTCATTCCCTATCATAAATCTAATTTTATTTCTTAGAAAGTTTTCTGAAAAGTTTGAACTATTTCATGTAACAAATAAAATTACAGTGTTTTTTCAAATGCACGTTACACATTTTGCCTTTCCAGCTTCGATATAGACATTGGAAATGAAACTGTTTTTTTATAAACTAACGTTTCGGGCCAACAATCGTGAAAACCTAAGAAATCGATATGATCTGCAGAAATTTTATTATCAGCGCATTGTACGTCCCACTGCTGGACACGGGTATTCTTTGGAGAGTGGGTTTAAGACACACTCTGCCCCAATGCAGGTAGGAAATCTCACACTTTTGGTTTGTAAACCTTCTTCGACATGCTGATATCATCACGATGTTTTCCGACGCAAGATCTATTGTGACTAACATTCTCAATGTATGTAACGTTAAAATTCAAATTGTAGGTACAACAGGGATTTGAATCGTCGACCTCACTGGGTTACCACAGCTCCAGAGCTGTAATAAAGTAAAAAAAGTCAAATGTAAAGTTCAGTATAGGTTCGTAACGACAAAAAAGCGGGATGGTGATATACACTTCATGTGGCGCTGTCTCACGATTCATTTTAAGTCCTAAACTGAATCGTAATAGGAGTTCATTGTAAGGCCCCAGTAGATAATAGAAAAATCACTTTGCATTATTAAATCCTATATTGTAGAAAATTATCAAAATCAATATAATAAATAGTACGAGAATAATTTTATGGTGTCCTACTTTCTTAGATTAACGAGAAATTTAATATTTATAGCTAGTTTATAAATTTAAGCCTTCCGTGGCTATTCATAAGCGATCCCTTACACATGAATTTCAAAACGTTCTAGAATATTCAAGAAAGAGTAACAAGCAGAGTTCGTTACAAGTAGACTCCATTTATCTATAATATACATAGAGTGCATAATACCTCCGTCAGAAATTCCCAAATGATTAAAAATAAAAGCCAAAAGAACGACACATCGACTCAGAAAAGTTATATTTTTAGTTACAATACCAAAACTTTTCTTCTAAAAACACTAGTGTTAGTAAAATAATATCGGTAGTTTACACATCTAACACATAAAATAAAACAAAGTACAATTATCTCAATGAGGAAATAAAAAGTATTATCCACCTCAATGGGCATTCTTTCCTTGATGCGTTAATATGCTGTGCCAATTCAGATCCCAGAATAATAAGTCGCGTTAAAAAACGTAAGTATTTTTAAACAAAACCATTGTATTTACTTTATCATTGTTGTATTATTCAAAACACAGGAAACAAATTGTTTGAAAAAAGTTTGTTAAAATTAACTACTCATATCTCAATCATAAAAATGTTTCTAAACATGATTATGCGCCATTTATTTTCACGCGCATTTGCTGTCAGTCAGTCATATTTGTTTACCTTTTTTGCACTTTTGTAAAAAAATACTTATACTAATATATTTTTTATCGCTGTCAGTTAAAATATTGTTGAGTTGTTTGTTGAAATAGTCACGTAAAGTCATAAAACTTAAATTTAAAATGGTTTCATATCAAATCGAAGTAGTTCTATACAACCATTTAAAATTCTAGTCAAACAAAATACATTCTTAACTTTTTTATAGACAAAACTTAAAGATTAACGATCTTAAACTGAAATGTACTTTTGGGCGTAAAAACTTCAAGTGGAAACACGTGAGGACAAATGCTTTTAGAATAACTAACCCGTGGGATTTTTATACCATCTTGACTGTCGTAGTTTTATACTTTTCTGGAGTTTGAAATATAATTCGAGACTATAAATAATTTTTCTAGTCTCGAACTTTAACAAATAATCTTATTTTATGTAAACATAGTAATTTGACTTTGACATTTTTTAAACATAAAAGTAGAAGTAAAACATAGTAATTTCGGTTTTATTACACTTTTATGTATTCCATGTAACAATGATTACGTATAATGTGAGTAGTTATTTTTATCATGAAAAGGTGGGCAAAACCATTTAGGTAGGGAGTTCAAATGAATTTTAAAAGCAACACGTAATGTTCGTATTTTGAATTCTGAGCTAAGTAATTTCCAAAGCGTTAATGACTAAAATATATTTCAATAATGAACGATAATTATATTTCACAACGTTCCAGAACTTTTAAAATGGAAGCGAACATAAGATTGGAACTTAATAAATTTATCGATTATCAAACTTTTCTTTTCACTGCTGAACTGAACTCATAAACAACACCATTGTAAAATTTGGCAAACAATTTCTTAAAAAACATACGATTTAAATTTGAAAATCGAAGGAGAAGAATTCGAATATGCCATAGGTTTCCAGTCATAATAAAACTCACTCATACTCGTTCATAGTAAAGTAACAGTTGTAAACGAACTTCACTTCGAAATAACGCCGGCACACGGGATGGGGAGTGGAGGCGACATCGCGGGACGCGGCCTTCCCCACGAAGGGCTGTGAAGCACTGAGCGCTTAACAAGCGAGCTTGAGACACCCACCTATTTGGGTAGGTACATACACCCTGCAGTGTTTCGAGATGCTTAATACCTCAATAAGTTTTAATACAAAAGGAAAACTTAAGTTTTCAATTGTGCGTGGTTTTTGCGATCTTCTTTTGTTCTATTTTTATTTCGCCGCTAAATTTTTGGACTGATTGTACAAGTACATACATAGGGCGCGCTATAAGTTTCCGGAACTGGCCACTTACATAAACAATATTTAAAAAGTAATGACAACATATGAAAATGGAACTCTTTGGCAGTAGAATACAGTTTGTTTCATCTGACTGTCACTTGTTTTTACATTGTGGCGTTATTTTAGAAATTGGTTGTCACCATAGATTTAACTTGTGAAAATTTTTGTAGTATGATTTTCTATACTTAAAGTGTAATCTAACTGGTCAGCGGAGCTTCCCCCGGTTTCAAAATGCTTTTGGCGATGAAGCTCCATGCAAGACTTATAGATTTATAGCTGGTTTACAAAATTCAAACGCGGTCGTGTGAATCTCAGTGACGAATTTTGTGATAGTCGCCCGTCCACTGCTGTGAACAACAAAAACATCGATGCTGTGCGCCGTATGATCAAAACAGACAGGCATGTGACATACCATGAGATTCGGGCATTTTTAGGCATAGGCATGTGTCAAATAAAATCAATAAATACTGTGCAAACATTTGGGTTACAAAAAGCTGTGCTCTCGGTGGATCTCACACAATTTGACTGAGGCTCAAAAAACGGATCGCGTCACTTGGTGCAATGCCATGCTTACCAGATTCAACGAAGGGGCGTCAGATTTGGCGTGAGCCATAGTAACAGGTGACTAAACATGGATTTATAGTTACGATCCCAAAACAAAGCAGCAATCGAGCGTATGGGTCTTTCGAGATGAGCCGAAACCAACCAAAGTGGCGCCCGTGTAAAGTGCCTCTAAGCGGATGATTGCTTATTTTTTTAAATAAAACTGAACACGTAGCTACTGTGGCTTTGGAGAATCGTTGTACCGTGAATAGTAATTGGGACACGACCATTTGTTTACCGGAAGCTATTGACAAACTCCACTACGAGAATACCAGTTCTCACATGGCCAGACAGACAAATGAATTTTTGAAGGTGAACAACGTTGACCTTATGAGCCATCCCGCGTACAGTTCCGACCTGGCAGCTTTTATTTATTTCCGAAAATTAAAAAAAGTTAAGCGGTCAACGATTTCATCACCTGAAGAGGCTATCGAAGAGTATGAAAAATATGTTTCAGAGATTCTCACGGAGGAGTGGCATAAATGTTTTCAAAATTGATTCATTCGTATGAAAAAGTGCATTAACGCTAACGGAGAATATTTTGACAAACAATAAAATTCATTTCTGACCATTTATAGTATTTTTTCTTATTCATTCCGGAACCGGAAACTTATAGTGCGCCTCACGTAGAAGAAAAAGTCAGAAATTAAAATCCGAATATCAAAATTTAATTGTCTTTTTTTGCTCAATATAAACCGGGTTTTTTGTTTTTAAACAAACCAACGTTTGGGCTCTTTACAGGTTCCACTGTCACAGCTGATGGTGTATTGAAAAAAAAAACGATGAAAAAATAGTTTATTTTGTGCAAGGACTTATATCTGTAAATTTATGTTGCATTGATTGTGATTTTATGGAAGTGCTAGAAAAGGACGTATGGTACAAAATTGTTCTAGATTTTTCTAGATAGAATACATTTTTTTCAAACCATGCTACTAATTCCTCCATAGTTTTCCAAAGATCAGCTTCAATAGTACGCAACTCATCATTATTCATCTCAAGTTCTGGACGTACTCGAGGTTCATTTGCCAAGTTAAAATGTCCACTGCGGAATCGAGTAAACCAAAAACGTACCGTGCGTTCATTACTTATATGCACTCCATTTACTAGCCACGTGAACAGAGTGCATGTATATTTCAAATCGTTTGCCCGACATTAGTGTCAAGTTGCAACTCGAATATAAAAATTACATAAATTTTAGCAAAAACATAAGAATAGCGCAAACTTTTTAATGATAAATGCCCATATTCCACAAAGTAGGGACCAGCTAAAAAACAATTGACGACCATCAATCGCGGATACAGGGTTTCATTTGTATTTCAATTATAGTTTCTAATTATACTGGATTTATATTTTTTAACTAGGGAAAGTTGATTTCAGCAACATTTTTTTAAGGTTATGTCATTATGTTACTTTGTAGTACAGACTTATATATCATTCTAAGTTAAGTATGATAAGGTACTTCACATTGTAAGTAATGCTTAGAGATTCACTACGACGTCTGAATGACATAAAAATGGTACAAAAATATACGATTTAAAAAAAATGCTTTAAAACACTTAATGCTTTGTAACAAAGCACAAATCTAATAGAAATACGTATTAATAATTATTTGCTAGTTTTGTTGAAAACTACGCCGTTAGTATCTACTCATTTTGAATAATAACTATTTTTGTCGAACATCCTAATAAAAACAACAGAGGCGCCGTTTTTTATGAAAATTCAGTGCGCATTTGACTTCCATCTCACCTGGTGGAAAGTGACGATGCGATCGACGATGTAGGAAACAAGTCGGCAGGCAGGGAATTCCACCCCATAGCCGTTCGCCATTAAATGTGAAAGCAAAACACATAGGGGTGGAATCCCAGCCTACGCCTAGTCCCACAATGATGGAAAGGGGAAGGCGGAATGAAATTATGCAATTCCATCACACGCTCTCCGTGATATATCCTGTAGAATACTGATAAGCAGGCAACTTTACGGCGGTGTTCAAGGTTCTGCAGCTTTGTCTCTAGTAATTCCGAGTCACCTATAAGTCTCTTGACACGTTTGTCGATTGAGTCCAAGGTGGCCAGTTGGTGGCCTTTTCACGTATGGAATAAACACGTGTCATCATAGTATTTAAGAATAATGGTACGGTACGAAATGTGGTTTATTGTCGTTGTACGTTTCCCTTTCAGCTTTTTTTATGGTATCAATGATGGACCCAACAAGTCGTGCACCTGGTGATAAGCGACACGCCTGTCCATGGTCACTTAGAGCTTTTAACCGCAAAGATCTGAAGGAACGAGCCTGTAACTTCACCAGCACCCCTTCTAATGCTCACATTACTGCTTGGTACCAGAAATCGGTAGCGTGGCAATACTTCACTGGACGAACTCTTTCAAAAGTAGCTTTACTATGAAAAAGTTACAGTTAATTGATAACACGAAGACTAGCTAACTGTAATAAATGGTTAGGTGAATACTACAAACACTAATTTCCAGTTAAAAAGAGCTAAAATACTAACAATTTCAAGTTAAGAAGTTAATAACACAGTTAATTGTTGTTGACGTCATTTAATAAACAAACACTACTAAAATGTCATTGACTGTTTTAAGACTTACCGATCTCTCTTCTACGTACACTTTTGAGCGTTTGTTCAATCCATATTGCTTCTTCCGTCGGAACATTTTATGGATAAAATATAAGTACACACTTCATAGTTCTCCTATAGTCTCTTAAATCCAGTGTCGTGCTCAACTGGGTCTTCAGTGAAATGAAATTTCCGATATTCGCCCACTGCAGCCGATGGCAGTGCCGATCCGCTTCGCTTGGAAACGGATTTTGAATTCATACGGCGCTCAATCGACCAGACACCTACCCACAAAAGGAAGTTTTCATTTCTCTCTCAATAACATCGAACGCTGAAAAATTGGCGCTATTTTTTGTTATTTCCTTTATGAACATTGTGTTGCCGAAAATAACTCTACAAATCATTTCAATGTTTTTTCGTTTTATTTGTTTATTTTTAACAATTACCTTTCGCTCGTTTGGGCGTATAGCGTTGGCGAAAAAATGAATTTTGACAGAAAAAAGTGACTAAACAAAATAAAAGGCTTGATCAAGATTTCAAACAAAATATAAACGAACATTCTGATAATGTTATGAAAAGAAAATTGCCTATTGGTCAGCCGTTATTGAAAGAACGAACCCATCGGCCCAATATAAAGGTGTCCCACTTTGTACAAGTTTTGAATGAAAGAGTAGCGACCGAGAACCCACACGTGATCGTAAATCAGATACCTCACGCCATTCACCGTTTATTTACAACCATAACCTTAGGCACAGAAGGCTGAAAGTCGCCTAATTTACTTAACACATTGTATTTTGTATCCTTCTTGTGGCCAAGAATGTGGCTATTGAGAAAAGGGTGCTCACAGATAAGGGCTTTATCGATGCATAAAGTACGTTATTATGAAGTTTGTCGGCCGCCTTTCAGTTGCGACGAGCAAAAAGAATAATGCAGGCTTTATTCGGCGCGGTATTTATGGCATGTCTTTATTTGCACCTGTCATAAATTTGACCTTCTCGAGAAATCGATATTTGATATAAAGAATCGCGTGGTGGTTGGTGTCAGCGACCTCCTTGCTAGAAGTTTTATATTTGCGTGATTGAATTTCATGTCTTCGTGTATCCATTGGCGAGTTACGGGAAACGTTGTTAATTACCTGGAAAGACAAGTAAAAGTAATTTAGGCAGGTTAAAAGGTGAAACAAATTAAAAATCATGCTATAAAGTGAGACGAATTCCTTCAGGTTCGAGACATTAAATATAATTAAATTTCCCAAGAGTGAGATTGGCAAAGATAAACGGGGAATTATACCGTTGAAGGTCTTTGAAGGCACCGCACGGTAAGTACATCCATTCGCCAAGTCTCATTTGGGTTCGAATGGAAGTGGGATGGTTCTATTATAGTTCTGTATTAGCCTAATTTGACTGCCCACTTACTTGAGCCTTAAATCTTTTATACACGATTGTTAGATAATCGAAAATGAGTTAAGTGCCTCGGGATATAATTTGGTGTTTTAATAATAAATCACGCAGTAAATTCGCAATTAGTAAAATGTCATATAAAAGTCTAGCGATCATAGGAAATGAAACTAT